GTTTCTTCCTGTTAAAAGGGAGTTTTTCCTCTCCACTGTCGCCACAAGCATGATTAGTGTGAGGGATTGCATTCGAGTCAATTAGTCAATGAGTCGATGCAATCAACTGGTTTTCCTGAGATAGAAAACTTTGAATCAATCTGACTGGATGATCTGGTGAACTGTAAAGAGATGACATGTGTTGTGAATTGGTGCTATAAAAAACAAACTGAATTGAACTAATGAGATGTAAAATAACTTTTTTTTTTTTTTTGCATCAGAATGTTTTCTGGTTGAGATCTTAGAATGTGGCTTTCTGCCCAGGGTGGCATGTACTGGCAGGGGCGTAATGCCAAAATCATGAGCCATTAATGACAGATTAACTATACTCTAGGACACATATCACAGTTCAATTATCGTTAGAATAATTTAAGTGCATGTGCAATTTTTTGAAAACATCATATTATTAAATGTGATTGTTTTTTATTACTAAAAATAGGTTATTGCATTAACATTGAATGAATCATGTTATCTATTTGATCTTTTTATGTTTTGGTGTAGGCACCATAAAATGAATAGAAACTCACTAAAGCAGACATTCACCTGATTGGCTAACCTGATTATTGATTGACTGATTGACTTTATTGATCTCACAGTGGAGAAATATACTCGTTACATCGGCTCAATTGTCTAAAAGAAGAAGTAAATGACAAAGGACGAAAAGGTGCATGGGGGTATATACAGTATATACAGTGCGTCTATATAGTCTTTTTTTTTCTTTTTTTAGCACAATTATTCAGGATTATTGTACAGGGTTATTGCACAGGGTATTTACATGGGCATTTATATAGATCGGTATTTATCTGTATACCTATTGCAGTGGTAATCAAATATAAAGACACAGGTTATTCCTCACGGTATTAAATTTAAATTGCACATTAGCTATTGCAAAAGTTATTGCCTTTGTAGTGTCAAATTCTGGAGTCTGGTGGCAGAAAGGATGAATGACCCTATTTTTACCTTGTAAATATATATATATGCCTCATTATAAAGTAGTCATAATACCAAAATAAAAGCTTCAAACATGGTCATTTGTGCAGTCTAAATAATCTCTTGTGTGTTTATATTTAGGATTTCAATAAAGATCCTCTTAAGCAGTTGGAATTGATCAAAAAGCTGTTTTTCAATCTATGATCTTGTGTTGTATATAAGCTTCCACAAGGGGGCATTCTCAAACAACAACTTGAAATGCAAACTGACACTTTAAGAAGTCCAGAAGTACCACAACCCAATGAAAAATACATTTTAAATATTAAATTTATTATAAGGAGAAATGGATAAACCGTACAACTCCTCTTTAATTATAATTCAGGATCACATGCCAGAGCATGCAGTGTTTATTCAACCAGGCGTCAACCTTTTATTTTGAAAGGCACAACAGGAAGCAACGCGGTTTCATTATTTTTCTTCAGAACTTTTTAAAGGATTCTCTTTTAAAGGATTTTTTTTTTTCCATCTTTCCAAACTTTTTCCCCTGCGCTATTATTTTGTCAACGAGGAAAAGACGTCTTGTGTAAACTCTGCGTGAAAATGCTGCGTCAGTAGATTCAATCAGGAAAGATGTTGTTTTGCATTAGAGAATCTATTACCTTAAATGCGCACAGAGAAAAGTTAGAGGAAATATTTCGGGGATTTTAACCGCGACATCATGCAGACACAGGGCGGTTAGTAAGCTAGCCGCTGCGCTCAGCAGCGCACTGAAATAAAGCAAATGGCTGTAGTTGGTTTAATGCCACACTGTCTGACATTATGGCACATTTTCCTCAATATCAGAGCTGTGTGTCTGTTTTCGCCCTTTTTGTGTGTCGGCTGCGGCCACATGACGTTGCACTCCAGTCTAGGACGTTATTGTAACGGTACCTCTGATGATACACCAACACACACAGGGAAATATGACGTAAGTAACTGTTTTTATTTATTGTGTGTGTGTGTGTGTAGCTGTCAGATCAGATTTAGGACCAGTTATCCTGAGCTATCTCTATAGTTATGTTGCTATAGGCTTAGACTTTTGGAGGACATAGGGAATCAGTTTTCATCATTCTGCTTCATTCTATCTCTATTCTCCCACTCTGCAGAATCTGTTAGTTCAATCTCTAACTGATCTGTTCCTGTTTGGCTGTGACACCACCCTGGAGAGAAATATCAGGACTACTTTGTTTATAGATGTTGGAGATCAGCCTGTTTTTCCGGTGTAGTCCTGTTTCTCTGACTGTGACTGGCTGGATGTGCTCTCTTCATCCTCTGACATGGGAGCTGGCTCGGAGCTCTTCTGCCTAGCTGTTTTATATCTATTTACAGTTGCTTTTTGTATCTCTGCTTCTGTCTCCTTGAACCCCAGTCGGCCTCAGCAGATGGCCGCTCACACTGAGCCTGGTTCTGCTGGAGGTTTCTTCCTGTTAAGAGGGAGTTTTCCTCTCTACTGTCACTACAAGCATGCTTAGTGTGAGGAATCCCTGAAGATTCAATGAGTCGATGCAATCAACTGGTTTTCCTTAGATAGAAAACTTTGAATCAATTTGACTGTATGATCTGGTGAACTGTAAAGGGGCTTGAGATGTTGCAAAGCGAGGACATTTTGCTGGTCCTCACAAAGCATTTTGTTAATGGTTAGGTTTAGGGCTAAGGTCTCAATTGGGTTAGGGTTAGGTATGCATTGGTAATGCTTAGGTTTAGGGTTAGTTTTAGGGTTAGGACATAGAAAGGGTTGAAAATGACTCAAAATCAATGGAAGTCCATGGGAGTCAACGCGTGGTCCTCACTACATATTGCAGAATGAGTAGGTTTGTGTCTGTGTGTGTGTGTTTACCTTATGCCGCGTTACATTTGCTTCACGGAAATAAGGTTATGGGTTCGATTCCGGCTTTGGGTTTGTTTTAGGGCTTCAACTAAGATTATTTTGGAAATAGATTAATCTGTTGATTTTTTTTTTTCAATTAATCGATCAATAATCGTAAAGCAAAAGGTTCTTTAAAGAAGACAATTTACAAATTTACTTGAGGAGTTCTGGATGGAGCATGTTTTTTTTTTAACAGCCCTGGTATGATTACTGCTCTGAGTGGGTCGCTCTGTCAGCTAAAGACATGTTTTACAGTCTTTACTCCAGTTAATGATTAATCGATCACAAAATGAGTTGACAATTATTTCATTAATCGATTAATCTGATTCATTGTATCAGCCCTAGTTTGTTTATTTGTGCACTCCCTGCTGTTGTGGGTTCTTTCAGGTTACTCCTGTTTCCTCCCATCATTCAAAACATGACTGTTATGTTAAATAATAGTGACTCTTAAATGACCCCTTAGAAGATTATACCATTATCCATCCATCCATTTTCTGTCATCCATGCTTATCCCTGCTGGGGTCGCAAGGGGTGCTGGTGCTCCAGCTGACAATAGGCGAGAGGCCGGTTAAACACAACAACCATTCAGGCACACACTCACACCTAAGGAGAGTTTAGATAATCCAGTTAACCTAACAGTCATGTTTTTGGACTGTGGGAGGAAGTTTTGGTACCCGGAGAGAACCCACGCATGCACAGGGAGAACATGCAAACTCCATGCAGAAAGACACCGGTCTGGGAATCAAACCCGGAACCCTCTTGCTGCAAGGCAGCAGTGCTACCCACTGCTCCACTGAGCAGCCCATTATACGACTATGCTATTCTTCTGAAATATGGAATCAGAGCACCTTAGCCGCTGAGCCTGAAGGGGAAGGTCCTCCAAAGGGATAGGAATGCTATGTCTGACTGATGTTCTCCTGCAGATTGCTCTATTTTATTTAGAAAATAAAGTCTGTTTTCTGTGTGGGCCAGTCAGGTTAGGTTGTTTACGCGTTGCTGTATAGTAATGTTTAAAGGCCATCTATCCTCAGACTGTTTCCAAATGGTGTGAAGCATGGAAACGGACCCGAAATGAAATGTAGGCTTAGATTTATACATACTTTATTGTTTACTAACTAATTTCATTACATACAGCTTACCGACAGTGAATGAGCAGCAGGTTAGCAGTGAAGATGAACATTTCTATTCATAAAGTGCAGTAGTGAACAAAATGTAAACAGTGTATGATCTTCTATGGCATTGACCAAGCGAAACACACTATTAGTCACACCTTAGAGAACAAATTTCCTCCTGCCTTGAGTCCAGTGCCCACATGCATTGTGCAACTGCAACCATTTGAGGTTGGATCCAGCTGCCCAGCCTTAGAAACTAGTAATTATTTTCCAAATGTTTGTAGAAATAATCTGCATGTCTAAGGAATGATTTAGAAAGCTGTGCTTTATTTGTACTGTAGATATACTTTTGGTACTGAAGGGTATGCCATGAAGCTTATTGTTATATATTTTTTAGCTTAAGGCTTAATAAAGCTGTAATGATGTGTTTTTCCACTGACAGAACCTTTGCAATCTTCCTGCAATGCATCAAAGCCAAAGAGGAAAGTCAGCTGGCCTGGCCATGCTCAGGATCAATGGTTTGTAGACACAATGGCAGACAAATATTGACTCCTGAAGCATTTGTGAATACATCTCCAGTCACTATAAGCTATTGCAGCTTTCATATTAAAAAGTATATTTGTATACTAACAAAAACTGAATATAATTTACTCAAGTTTTTACTCTGATGCAATAACTGATGTCCGTCTTTATTGTGATTTTCAGATTCTTTAACCATTTGGTCAAACGCTGTCTTCTGGTCTTGTAGGTAAAGTGATCCATGGGCCCTCTACTGTTAATGAATGGAGCCCATGTCTGTCTTCGGCCCCCGCTGGGCCTTGGAGTCACTCTTTTTACTCCTCCTTCACCTCCGTGTCAAACTTGTTGCAGCTCAGAAGGAGCAGAAGCACTCTCATCAGCCACAGCCCTCCTCAGCCTCCTCCTCAGGTCGTCTCCATGTTTTGATCTGAATTCCCTGATGGATTAATATAGTGGCTGAAATATCCAGATCTTTTGATTGCTTCCCCAGGTTCAGAATTCGGTGCCTCCATCATCATTCGGGGTTAAATTTTCTAAGTGTGTCCAGGTAAATCTGCTTTTTCCAGCAGAAATCAGTTTGTTAGTAAATGTAGTTGATAGAAAGTGATAACTAATATCTTTCCCTGCCGATCTTTTCCATCAAGGTGAAGCTCTACACCGATCCCCCTCAGGTGACGTTCTTCCTACTGATCCACAATCAAAGCCCCTCAGGTGGGACCAACCTTTCTCAGATGGCCATACGAGACTCCATTTCCGGGGTAACGCCCATCAAAACTGAAGGCAGGGTCGTCGAAAGAGGCTACCAGACATTTTCTATCGATTCCCTGCAGGGTGTGTGACTGCATCAGACCGTTATATAAAGATTTCTATATTTAAATTTTAGATGTGGATTTTTTTTAGATCCAAATTAATCCAGTTTTATTGCTTTTTGTTGATTAGCCGGATCTCATGTGGTTGTTAATTATACTGCTCACATAAGAAGTCAAAAGAATGAGCTCCTAGATCTCCCTGCTTTCCTGACCTTCTGCAATGCATCACAGGTCTGGTTTTCTCCTTCTGTTATATTTTTGTGCCAAGCCAGCTCTCTCACATTCGTCATACGGTAATAGAATCAGTCGTAATGATTAGGTCTTCCTTTTTTTCTTTTTATCCCACAGAATGATGTCCGTATGTTTGGGCCACTAAGAGCCAATCTGACTCTGAGGGTAAATTCCACCGACAAGGTCAGTCTCTAATAGGTCATTTTTTCTTGCATAATAAAGCATTTGTTTGTGATTTTTAGTTTTTGTTTTGTTTGTTCCGCTTGTCTTCTCAGATTTCTCCCAATCATGGAGTCCATTTTGCTGGATTTGTTGCTGGTTTCTTCATCACGTTGGTGCTGCTATTGTTGGGGGTTCTCATCATGAAATTTGCTAGTCCCAGAGCCAGATCCTGTCTTCTTCAGCAAAGGGTATCAGCATGTTTAAATGTGTTCATCATTTATTTGTATACAAGATATTTATTTACACTGCAAAAAAAACCAAAACTTTTTTTTCCTTTCTTTCTGACATTAAAAAAGACAAAACTTTTCTTTTATTACCATCAATGTTTCTTTGCTGAATATCACAATCGTTAGGTGGAGAATATCTATCAGTGTACACATTTTTCAGTCAGAAGTTATTATTTATTCCTTTATTGTTTTGGAGAATTGCCTTTTAAGCTGTATGACTTGGTTCAAATATGAATTATAATTTTTTGTAAATAATTCGGTGGTGCGATTTGGATAATTGTCCATTTGGAGGTCTTCACTTCCTGCCTAATATATTGAGATGCTGCCTCATTGTGGATAAAAATCTGTCTACATGTTGTCATTAGTTTGTCCTGCACCAAATCACCACAAGAATGTAATATTACAACCCCTCTACCCTACCTTTGCAATGTTTTCAGACTGACAACCTTCTATCTTTGTCCTCTGCATGATACCATTTTCTTTGTTTTCGAATACTTTTAATTACGAACACTTTTAAATACAAAAGAACATACCTCCAAAAATTGTTTTTCTCTCTTAGTGCATCTGCAACCTGAAACTTAGGTGGTTAGACACTGATCTAAGTGTAAAAGCTTGTAAATGTAATCACTTATCACCTGCAAGGCAATCTATCAAGGATGCAAGAGGATACAGGTGCATGCTTAAAGGTCAGGTGCAAACTTGTACACTTAAATCTTTGTGGTCCTGAGAAGAAGGTTTCTAAGTACAGTGGCCTACAGGAGAGAAAACCTGTGTACGTTTCAACATATTTGCAGCGTCGGGAGTTTGAATTGCAGAGTAGTGTTATCCATTGACAAATGCATTTGTCTGGACAATCTTCTTTCAATGCTGCATTTTTTACATCTTTACATTGCACCTTTAAAGTTGGGGAGAACTTCTGTCGCAGTTGCTTGATTTGTTGTCCAGTGTTGCTGATTCAATGCTAGAGGTTGGGATTGAAGGGATCACGGAAAGCATTGTCCGTGCTTTCAATCAAAATCAGATTAAATGGAAAAGAAGTTTGCAACAAGCCTGTCCTTTGAAAACTGCAGCTCTGATGAATATGATATACTCTCTAGGGACAATGGACTTTTTTCTGGGTTGATCAAGTGTTAAATTCAGTAATATATTACATTATATCATTTAATAACTAGCTTCTCTTTCCTGCAGCAGCTACTGTTACCAATCTTTCTCATTATTGCAGTTATGCATTAGAAAAAAGGATCATTGTTTGGCCGCAATGAGCTTTAAGTCATTGATATCTAATAAAACCACCAAACCTGTATGGAGTAGCGAAGAAGAATGCTTGCTTCTGTTAGCTTGCTGCAGTAAGAGCCTCTAATGAAAGATGGGGCTCAGTTAGCTCTTTATTTCAGCTCTGCAGGAGTTGCGCCCACTCTCTTCATTGGTTCAACAGGTTTAATGTAGCAAATCAATGTCAAAATGTTTGAATTCAGGACATTAAATGATATATTTGAAAGTCATATTATATTATTACTAATTTATGATTCATCATTATAAGCTAATGTATTTATTTTATATTGTAAGAAAAGCATTTGCAAAGATTCTGTGGACCTGTGATTCAGAAAGCCTGCTGTCTTATTCATGTGATTTTTGTTTTGTTTTAGAGATTCAGATGTGATTTGGATCCTGAGTTTGCAGAGACCAGCTTGATTGAGACCATCAAAGAGGAAGCTGCATTTGAGGACAAGATGGTGGACATCATGGTGCTGGATGATCCACCAAATATGTACCAGGCTTTGGATAAGTGAGTAGAATATCCTTACATTACAAACCTTTATTTAATCACTCCCCTGAAAAAAAAGAAATATTTTCTTGTGTTTTGTCTTTGAAGCCTTGAAATGTCTTCACTGGTTCAAGCCTCCAGTAACCTGGAGGCCATCCGGATTCAGATTTACAAAGATGTGACGTTCTGCCTGCTCGGTGGCCTGCGATCGCGGGGCCAGGTCAGCGCCCAGGCCCAGCAGAGGTTGCTCAGTGTGGTCCATGGGCAGCTGCTTGGAATGGAGGGACGCCTGAAAGAGGAACAAGGGGTTCGCATGGCTACTCTGGCTGGTCAGTGTAACCTGGAGACGCATGAGGAAATGGAAGCAGAGCATCGCAGACAAGCGGCTGAAAAAGCCCAAGCTGAGCGACTTTGCCAGCATGCAGGCCAGCAGGTAGCAACGTGTGTTTAATGGGAAAAGTAACCCTAAAATGATATATAAACAACTGATGTTTGTTATGTGGCCAGGAGCTTCTCCAATGCAGCATCCTCCTGGAGAAGCTGCAGAATTTGAGCCAGAGTCACCTACGGCGGATCCTCTTGGTCCGACATGAAGAGGCTTCAGCAAAGGTCCAGAGAGAGCTCATCGAGTGGCGACGGGTGGAGCTGCACAAGATCTTCTCAGAAGAACTGGAGGAGGCCACGAGGATGGGCGAGTTAGACGGGAGCTCAGCCAAGAGACTTCAGCACAAGTACTTTGCATGTCAGGTGAGCATCTTGTTAGATGCCAGAAGTTTCAAAGTCAGACTTTTTAAATTTAAAAACCCTGCTGTCCTTGTATTTATTATTTTTTAACTAAATAAATGAAGTAATGGGTTTTAAAGATTAATCACAATGTGACGTTGTCTGACCAGGATCAGCTGGAGGAAGTGCTGGATGTGGCTGTTGCCAATCAGCGGTACATCCTGGCTGAACGCAGCGCTCAGAGGAAGTTCCTGGTGCAAAGCCTCCACAGCCTCGATGTTCTGATCTCCGACACCTTCTCCAGCACCTCCAGCAACTTGGAAAGCTGGTTCTCCCACATCAGGAGGTTGGTACAGCTGCTAATTTCCCCCTCACCCTGTGAACATCAATACTGTATGTTCACTCTGAACAACATTCAGACACTGCTCAGATCAACAAAGTTGAGAACATATTATTGGGGTGTACGTTATAATTTTTACACTAAAAGGTAAAATGGTGGCCAGGCACATTTGTTACTATGATGTCACACATAACATAACATTGTTCAGATTTATTGTACTTTGGTGTTACATGTATGAACCGACCCTTTCTGAGCCGGCTGTTAAATAAGCCAGCAACAAGATCTGTCTTTACAAGATCTACGCTGATTTTATCTCTCCTACAGAAACAATCCGTTAATTTTGTGACTGTGCAGAATTTAAACCAGTTGAAGCGAAAACTATGCCATTTAAGGAGTTCTGGGTAAAACACATTTACTTACAAAAAAAATGTCTTCATTTAAATCAATGCATTTTGCGTCACGCTTATCCCTGCTAGTGTTGCAAGGGGTGCTGGTGCCAATCTCCAGCTGTCAATGGGCGAGAGGCGGGATACAGCCTGGACAGGTCACAGGGCAACACAGAGACAAACAGGAAAAACAACCATTCAGACACATACTCACACCTAAGGAGAATTTAGAGAAGCCTAAGAGTCATGTTTTCGAACTGTGGCAGGAAGCCGGAGTACCCGGAGTGAACCCACTCATGCACAGGGAGATTATGCAACTGGATGCAGGAAGACCCTGAGCCGTGAATCGAACCAGGAGCCTTCTTGAGGCAAGGCAGCAGTGCTACCCAATGCGTCACTTTGCAGCCCCTCTAAATATATTCTCATAATATTTCCTAAAGATCAATTCAGGGTTCTGCCCAGGGGTGCTTCAGTGTAGCTGAAATTCAGTCTATATGTTTATTTTTATTAACAGATTGGTCCTTTGATTGACATCTGGACTCCCTCCCCCATGGTTCTGTTTCAGAGTAAATGCTGCCAGCCTGAAAGTGATCAAAGTTACACTAAAATTAAACTGATACACTGACTTTTAATCAGTGTAATTAACAGCTCCAGAAATTGTGTTTTTAAACACATTTACCTTCTTATTTGCACCTATAATGAAGAAGAGTACAATGAAAACTTGAACCCTGTTCTCTGCATCAACTCAGACTCCCTCTCAGGGCTTGCAGGCAGGTGAACTAATGCATGCCCGCCCCCAGCAGATATAGAGCAACCTGTGATGGCAGGGGTGGAGTGTCCAGGTTCAAAAGGACTCCAATCAGTTTGTCTGTCCCAATAAAATGCAGCATCATTGCTTCGCTAGGATGATGCTGCTTACCCCCCCACTACCCCACAGCAACTGCTGGTGCTTCTATCACTAAGTACTACACTCCTAAATAGACAAAACAAAATTATCACCGTCCTTCCAAAGGTCATTAAATACAATTAATTAAATAATTTGAAGGTGAAAGCTATAATAGAGAATATAATTGTATTAATATCTATAATATCCTGTAAAAGGATAATTGTGTTGCAAAACGGTCTCAATTAGCTTATTATTTTGTCACAATGGCAAAGAAAATTGTTTTTGATACAAGCAATGTAATTTGAGGTCAGACCAGATCAAAAGGAATGAATTTAAAATCATTCGAATCAGAATCTAATTCATTTTTGATATTTGAATAGATACCTGTCTCTATTTAAAATGAGAATGTATGTAGATCTATATATTGGGTTGTGATTTTAGGGAATGGCATGTTTTGGTGTCTCTATGATCAATTCAATGATTTATCCATTACTTACATAGCTGTTTTAGCCTTAAAAGAATAATTTCTTTTTTATCTCCATTTACACACAATTCATTGTTAGAGAAAATGGATCAACTGTTTTAACAGTTTGCATCTGCTGTTTAGATCTACGGGGATTTCCTCATCTAATGTACCAGCTAGGGGTGTAAATCACATCCATAATGGCGATTCGATTCAGTATCGATTTCCTGACCCAACGATTCGATTATTTTCGATACTCAAGAATACACCACGATACGATTCGATTAATCGGTTAGTTTTTTTTATTTTTTTTTTTTTATACACCTTACAGGCTTAACAAAGTTTCAAGTTTGAAATAAATCAATGAAAGCTGTAATATCGTTATGCATTTTTTTTTTTTTTTTTTAGAAACAACAGCGAATAACAGAAGTAGAAAGTTGCATCAAAAAATACTGCACATGATCAGTGCAATGAGTGCAATGCAATACCTTGGCTCCAGACGTCCCCTCCCCCTCCACAGACGCTCTGCTGCACCTCTCCCAAATTGTAGCTGACCGCGAACAGTGCTGCAGACAGGAGGCCGGCTTGTTTTGTTTTTATGACCGAAATTGCGGAAAACAACTCGTGAAGTTTGACCCGCTAGAAGAGCGAGATGCGCAAGAACGCTGGGACCCTTTTTCCACCTGGATCTCCGCTCTTTTTGGCCCTCATGTCCCTCTGTCGTCGGACTAAACTCGCCCCCACTTACTCGGCCGTATCTAGACCCACAGTGTGCAGCTCAGACCACGCTTCAATATTGAGCATAAATAAAAAATGTTTGTGTCAAGCTCACTGCAACACACTGCTGTAAGAGTATAACCAGGAAGCGAGGTAGGAGGGCAACATAGGTTTAGCGCCACTGCAGCACGGGAGGGAGAATTACGTCCAGGAGCAACTGGATAAAAATAGACCGGAGGAAAAAACAAAACATGAATCGATTATCTTACGGATGTGTCGATGCATCGGATTGTCGGCTTTTGGATCGATGCATCGATACAAAACGATTATTATTTACACCCCTAGTACCTGTCAGCGTTATTTCACCTTTATCTGTGGTTAGAAGGACTGTATTTATAAGAAAGAATCTCCTGACCATTAAAAACACTTAACCATTTGTTTGGCTTGTTTTGACCACCAGGGGGAGCATTGTACCATCAGAACAGCTGAATCAGCTGCAAGAAAAGGCCCAGAAGGAGCTTGTTATGGTGAAGCAAAGACTGGATGAGACCCTGAACCAAGAAAAGAGAGCAATGCGTTGCGGACTAATTAACAAGAGGAGAGGGCTCATCTCAGACATGGTTAGGAGACCAAACTCATGACTTTATTTCATCAGGTTATTTTCTTTGGGCTAAAAATCTATTATGAAACAAATATTTCCAAAAGTAATATTGCATTGTGTCCTGTTGTCCAGTTGAAGGTCCACAAGCAGAGACAGAGCGACTTATCCAGCACTACTAAAGGTCTGGAAGAGAACATAGATGTAGCATACCATCTGCAGTGTTGGCAGAACCTACTGACAGCGCACAGCCTGGAGCTCGCAGAACTCATCAACAATCTGGACGAGGAGGCTGCTGCTGACATCCGCAAGGTGCCACTCTGTGAGCTAAATCAGTGCAGAAATAGTAATAATTTTAATAAAAGCTTAAACTTTCTCTTTAGGTGACGATGCGAGGGATTCAGAGTGTGATAGCCGATGTGAAAGCCATCCAGCCTTCCGCTGCACAGGCCTTGTTGACACTCTTGCCGCCGGGTGCTAAACAGCCCATGCTGCCCATACAGCCCATCCTGGAAGCAGAGGTGGGGTCAGAGAAGGCTGCAGGGCAAGGGCCCAGTGCTCTACTGCAGGGCCAGGAAAGGCTTCACCAGGAAGGTAAGGCAGCACTGCGAACCCTCAGCTGCACCAGGGAGTCCCTGCAGGAAAGCATGGAGCAAGAGCTGCAGGAGCAGAAGGAACTCAGGGCTCACTGGAGAGAGTTCTTCAGGTGAGTGATGGAGGGACATGGATCAAAATATAAAAATACAGAAAACTCTGCATTATCCATTGCATTTAAAGAAGGTAAAGATAAATATGTATTATGTTCTATCATAATGTTACATTAACTGAAGACCGACTCTGTCCAAAGCAACAAATAATGTATTTAACCTTATTTATCATTAAACAGATTAATGTTTACTTAATCTGTGTAAGGTTTCCTGTCATTTCCTCCTTGTTTCACTCTGTCTCAGGTCTCTGTGTTCATCTCAGCTGACGCTGTCTGAGGATGACAGGCTGAGGATGAAGCTGGAGTTCCAGAAGAGTCTGTCCCTAATAGACCGCTGCTTGGTGCTGCCTCACGCCACCTCCAGAGCCAAACTCCACACTGCTCTGGCTGTGTGGAGAGCAAAAAGTGAAGAGGAGATGGTGAATACATTATTACAGTCTTCAGTGTTTGTGCTTCTATAGACCCTATGCTGAACTTTGTCAATGACACTAGAATTTCTTCTTAAAATCCATGTGGATGTATGGAGCGCCAAAACTGAGACACTGGATGCTTTATTTTATCATTTAATTATTTGTGCATTCATTCATTCATCATTTATATATTCATTCATTTTTTCATGATTTAATTAAATCATTTCTACATTTCTGTATGCATTTTTGCATCATAATATTATATAAATTATGTGGGGCAGGGTCTTCAGGCTTCAACTTCAATATCTTGATTAGATATTACTGCATTCATGGTAGAAGCTTAGGCACGAGGGCACCGCAACTCCTCGTTTGCATAATGTGACAGAAATGCAAACAGAAATGTAGAGATGAATAGAGTAAATTAAAGAATGAATGGAAAATATATATGAATTAAATTAATAAGTTGACTTATTTGAAACGCTTTAAAAATGCTCAAAGGATCAAACCCACTATGCAGCAACATCGGGTGTAATTCAGAGCCTCTCTCCAAACTTCGGTCCTGCACGTTTCCCCTCAATAAAATACCTATATAAGATCAATTGATTTTTTCTTAGTGCTTGAGCCAAATGAAGGAGAGAACCTTTGACTGCTGCTCTATCTGGTTGTGCACCAGTATTGTAACTTCTCTTAACGTCAGTCCTAATATGTGGCAGTCTGACACTGATTATACAAAGGAAAGATTGTCCTTCCATTGCATAGCTTCATAATATAGTGTTCCTTAAACATTTTTTTATTCAAATATAATAGTCCTGGCTCC